CAACACTGCAACCGTCCTTCGAACATCAATGACTCCCTGGTGTCATACCAACCAAGGTGTGCTCCGTTATCGTCGTCATTCCAACCAAGCCCCTCTGCATGCCGCGTCCTTCCGCCACAAGCAAACTCAGCGACACCGCGAAGTCCTCGAACATCATCCGCCAGAGTGCCGATGTAGGGTACGCCGCTACTGCATCTCAGAACAAGACTGATACGATGCTGGCTGTTCATCTGTACGATGGTAGATTATATGCTTTGTCCATTCCCCCTTCGGGTTGTGTCGGACTCTTCTATCCGTCCCACGTGTGGTATATCGTCTGATCCTCAGTTAGTATCGGGACACTAGTAGGTGGGACGCAAGGTATCCTTACTTGAGGCCGCCTTGAAGCTAGAGTTGATAGCAAATGGAGGTTCCTTTCCTCGTTCTTCTTCCTTTGGTCCTGAAATTGCGGCGAGAGGTTCGGGAAATTATGTATCGCGAGGTGCTTGAGAGTGGATGTTCCAAATTCGCATTGAACGTTTCTCCGCTCATTAGTTGTCGAAGAGATGCCTACACCAACGCAGTCATTGTTAGCAATTTGCAATTGGCCATGAGAGTGGATCTATGTGAAGAAGTACCACAATTGCTTGAGGAGGACAGGCACTTATTAATGAAGTTCGATGAGCGCAGGAGGTAGGGCCATAGTAGCTGAACAACAAGGCAGACCAAATACGTCGAGGGGAGTCCTGCTGTAGGCCGCAACATAACTTGTTAGCTACTTATAATGAGACATGAGAGGGGAGCCTTTTTTTTTTCCCCCCCCCCAAAAAAAATTCAAAAAAATGGGAGGACGGGGGCGGGAATCGGGCGCAAAGAAGGGGGGGGGGGGGGGGGAGCGGAAAGAAGAAGGAGGGAAGGGAGAAGGGAAAGAGAAAGGGAAAACAACAAGGGAACAAGAAGGATATCAACGCTATCATACAAAGAGCTCAAGTGTAACGTTGTTTTTCGCCCATAGAGGACCCACGCACCTTTTAATTTAATTCGCCAGCTTGACCTTAGTGACGAGCTGCCAGAGGTGGTAGTAGAAGAGACTACCATATAAGAGGAAGAGAGAGAATAATTGCTGGGGCTGAACTGATCACCTAGCAACAGGAAAGGGGATATTTCTTCGGACAAGATAGAAAGAGACAGTGAGATCACATAAAGTGAGAGAACGGCAGACATTCTTGATGCTGGAAAAGAATTTCGCTATCGAGGTATGAAGTACACTAGGAGAGAAACAGAGGGGAGCAAAAAGACCGGAAAATACTAGGAGGACACTGAAGACGAGAAGACGAGAAGAGAGGAAGAGGATATGGGAAGAGGAGACGAGAAGTGAAGTTGGGAGGAGACGAGAAGCGAAGTTAGGAGGAGACGAGAAGTGAAGTTGGGAGGAGACGATGGGAGGAGAAGATGGGAGGAGAAGAAGGGATGAGAAGATGGGAAGAGAAGACGAGAGATCACTTCAGATGGGAGATATGGAGTGGGGTAAATGGGATGCTGGAAAGATAAGAGAGGAATAGAGGAAGGAGAGATGCCTAGGTAGAGAGGAGCCCCAGGTTGAGCTTGGAAGGAATAGTAGTTGAACCAGCATCTGAAGGGAAGCAGCAATTCGATATGGCACCTAGTGATATGCTACTAAAAGTGTCTGGGAAGGTGTGGAGGGATTCCTATAAAAGCAAGTTTGGAATGGCGATCTAGAACTCTCTACTAACAGTTACGCCTTCCTCCGCGTTGCCCCAATATCGTGCGATTGGTGTTAGATACACTTACGTTCGTCCTCAAGAAGGAAACCGGAGGATGGAATCGGCGGCTCTAGACCACGGACATCTCCTACTACAACCATTTAGGAAGAGGACAAAGACCATATTTACTTTCATCCAAGGCTAAGGTTCGAGAGATTGTGGAAACTAAGACCGGAGTCCTGCAGAGGAGATCGAAGGGTAGGGCAGCAAGGGCACCCTTGATCTAGATGTTTTGACCTGTGCGCCTTCCTATGTAGATTGCAGGAATAATTCCCCAGTTCTTGCATGTGAAACTTCTCTAGAGATTCATGCTTCCGCACATTGATCCTAGAAGAGCAGAGCTTAAATGAAAAGGGAAGGTAGGGAGCAATGAGGTCTTGAGCTGTCAAAGGTTCTCCGGAAGGTGCTATTGAGAAGGGTGTGGGATTAAACCAACGTGTCGAAGGTATCGCATTTCTCGAGTCTTGAGCTGACTCCTCTTACATTCACATGTACGAAGCAAGTGGAGAAAATTGCGGAAAGCTTGGGGAGGGTTCCGTGAAGTAGAGCCCTTCTTTTTGAAGTAGAACAAGTTTACTTCCTGGCGCCAAGCCCTCTCCTCAGCTGCTTATTCCTGATTTCGTTCGAATTTTGGTAGTATGAGCCTGCAACTTATCGAAGCCAGGATTGGGGTCGGTAATCTTGTCACAGACCACTTAGATAGCCCTTGATCAGATTCGTCTTGTGGTTCCAGAGTCAATACAGAACTGTGCCACGAATTATCAGCAGCTTGCCCGCACCTCACTCAGCTCTTGTGAGCTGCCAGACCATCAGCGGGCTAGCCTAATCGTGGGCCCTCTGGCTTTGGATACCAAATTGTAGAGAGAAAAGGGAAGACAAGTTGCGCAAGGCTGACCCATTGAATACGGCAGATTCCGCCGGATGCGTTAGGGAGTCCCTTTAGCTTAAGCTACAGCGAAAATGGACAACGACTTCGGAGTCTGGGACAGTTTCCGGCGTGCGGAGCCTCCAGGATTGATGCTCGGTGTCACAAGAATAAAACTAGCGAAAATGGATTCGCTTAAGCATTGGGGAAGACAGTGGAGACTGGACTCCTGCCCTATACAAGATGAACCTCCTTAGGTCACGCAGCCGAAACTCGAGATACATGTTGCGAACGGATTCCTCAGCCCTGAAAACGTGTGAGAGCAAGCTCGTTGATGAAGAAAGGGGGGTGCTATCTAACGGAGGAAACATACTTAGAGGGAGGTGTAAGAATCATTAAAGAAAGGAAGAGGTAAGGGTGCCTTCGATACATCGTGCTTGTTTCGAGTAGTCTTCTACGGACCGCTTCCAAGTCGGCGCAGGATAGTAAATATGGAGTTCTCTGCAGTTTCAAAGTACCCACGACAACAAGACATGAAGTCGATAATGATCAATTGATGATGATTTCCGAGGTGCTTGGCGAGGCAAAACTTTGGCCTGTTGAAGAGGAAGCGACGTGACCTATGACGTCATCCCAACCCACTAGAAGGGCCTATTGACAACTCGAGGGTGTGGGAACGGACGTTGTTGAAACCCGGGCCGCCAACAGAAGGCGCTGTTTCCGCAGACCGATGACTTCACACTACTTAATAGTAGAACGCCAATTGCTAGAGACCATGGCAATGTGTAAGGTTCAATTAGTACATTTGTATTTCGCTAAACCTCGAAAGGAGATCTGGGGTGGTGACTTAAACTACGGAGTATGTCGGCTCTAATATCCCGTTGCTGCAGGCTGCTGGCCTGGTGGTGCCGCGCTCAAGCCCCGGAGTGGTCTCTCACTGTCCAATTGTCGCCGGATCGTATTAGCTAACGCCACAACCAGTCAGCATCAAGTCCCCAGGCATGTTCCTTGTTCACTCGTGAAATCGCAGATTGCTTCCTGCGGTTATTCTAGACCTCCTCTTTCCTTCGCCGACACTTGTCCACTTCCAGTCTTTGAAGTTCATGGATGCTAGACGAACGTCGTCTCGTGGTAACCTGAAATATGATACGCTTGCACCTTGACCTTCCTAAGGTGTAATAGGCGAGCGCAGAGTCGTATACAATCCGGAACCCCCCGTCCATTCACTTCCTGATCGGGCAACGTACATATTAACCACACCAGAGCGAAACCATGACATCCATCCGCTCATCGGAGAACAACATTGGCGACGCTTTGGCCTGGCTGCTGTCCAACGGGGCTGACATCCACGAGTCAGAGGCACTGCAAGAGTTTCTGTGCTCGCGACACCCATCGCATCATATCTGGTGTGTCTGCGAAAATGTACGAAGTATCTATGTGCAATTGTGAGTGTGTGTGTGACCGCCTCTGGCCCGGATTGGACATTAACCTCCTCACGATAATGTGTGACTTGATGATGCAGAAGGATGGGGTAGAACGCTTCGAACAGACCAGACTCTCCCAGCCAGAGTGCATATCTTGACAGTGCCATTACCCAGAGACGTTGAGCGACGCTGCCCGCACAGCGACGCCTCGAAAAAGCTAGCATGAAGGGGTTGATGATTGTGGCGAAGATGCCAAACGCCATTTTACTTGAATAAATACAGGTTAATCGAGTCGTTCGATATTCGAGACTAGTTCATCGCAGGAGGAGGTCAAACATGGGCCCTGACACGCTGGTAGCACGTTGGTGACACGCCGGGCTGGGCTGCACTGCACACTAGTGTTCAGGAAGATCGTGGTGCCAACCATCTGGCTGTGTCTTTCGCTCTTGATTGATCAATCAATCAATGCTCGATGTTACTTCGGGCATCCCTCCAATTGCACTTGGCAGAGCGCGCTAACCCCCTAGCACGAGGACGCCCCCCACCAGTGACCACCACCACCAATACCACTACATTTCGCATTTTGCATTGATTGTTCCCAAGCCCCCACGAACTCGCGGACTATACTGTTCAAATAATATCTATCGTTGACCACGCCAAGTCTTCCAAGTCCTCCAAGTCCCCCGTGGTCGACTCTTAAAACACTTAGCCGCAAGAAGCGAGTCGACTCTTGCGTCGTCTGCCGCAGAACACATCTCCGGCAAATCTTCCCACGGCTATTTGGTGCACCACACTCCTTCGTCCATCAATTCCTTCTCTTCTCCCAAGACGATCCCTCCCAACCCCTTGGGCTTCTTTTTTCTCCCCTCCCCCATGGAGTCTTAAGCTCCTGGAGTCAAGCAAGGTGGCGCGATCTGAATCTAGGCCGGTCCCGACTAGGATAGGACAATGTTTTCCTCACTGCTTCGCCGAAAGCAGCAGACGCCTAGTCGTCGCGTCCACGATCGAGATCGAAGTGACCCCCTTTCCAAGCCTCATCCGCTGTCAGCGTCGCCAGGACCAGCAAGTCGGTCGTATCAAGGAGCCAGACACGCCACTGCCGACTTTACAGAGGTCGACGATGACGATGACGACGATTCAATCGGAGGTGATGGGCTTGGTCCCTACCAGCTTGATCCGATCGACGAGGATGGCCCCCATCAACCCCCCATCCTGCCACTATTCTCGGCAAGCTATCTTGGTAAGGCGGCGATTTTTCAGTAGTCCCCATACAAAAAAAAGCAATTTTATCCTCATCGAAAATGTTACATGCCATTGACACATTCGGATTTTGCCTAGACTCGTTGCCAATTTATTCTATAACCCACGCGATTCGAATCATCATCCAGGCGCGAACCGAGACGACCCTCTCCTGGGACCAGCTGCGGTCCCCGCAAGTCTCGCAGTTTCTTATCAAGCCCATGCAACAGCTGATTCGAACACACCATTTTTCCAGGGCCACCGTATACTGTCTAATGGCAAACTGTTTGCAGTTTTCCAAGGAGGGTCAAATGTATCCTGGTAATGCTGGCACGAGTAGTACTCGCGCCAAAGTGTGCGAGCTTCTTGCCCTTAAGCTGCTAAAGGAGTATACCACCCGGGAGCTTATCGATGTCTTGTCGTACGATTTCTACCCACTCCAAGGCATGCCAGGGATTCCACCGCCCAGTAACTCGGGACTGAAACGAGCAGACAGCCGATTGGGGTTCAGAGCCGCTGCCGGTCGAACGTCCGCTCTCGAGGTAGCAATCCGTGCCTCTGCGAAGCATTTCCTGGCCCATCCCCTCGTGGTTCAGCACCTGGAAGCTATTTGGAACGGTGCAATCAGCTTCTATTCCGCTGCTGATAGTCTGCACCGAGAAGTGCGCCCAGCCTCAGCTTTTGCTGGGCCCAAGAGACAGCCCAGCAAACCTGGTGTTCGGACCCCTTTACTGGGTAGTCAGTCATCCAGGGACGACCGGAAGGATACTGCTGCTGTAGGAAGAAGGACAGTGACACTCTACGACCCGCGTCAGGCTTCTCTTTTCAAACTCTCCCGGCTCCGTGTTCCCCGGTATCGGTTCTTCCTCTCCACCTTATCCCTGGCTGTATTGATTGGTTTGTTCCTTGCCGTGCTTTCCGCCAGGTCTACCCGGATTACTACCCTGGAGCTTATATTCTGGTTTTGGAGTGCCGGCTTCATGCTCGACGAACTCGTCGGGTTCAACGAGCAGGGCTTCTCCCTCTACATTATGAGCTTCTGGAACATCTTTGATCTAGGCATCTTGATACTGCTCATCATCTACTACTGCATGCGTGGATATGGCGTTTTCCTTGTAGATCCGCACCACTGGAACCAGATGGCGTATGATGTTCTCGCCGCGAATGCAATCCTGCTACTTCCCCGGATCTTCAGCGTTCTCGACCATTACCCATATTTTTCCCAGCTTCTTATTGCCTTCCGTCTTATGGCTCTGGATCTCGCGGCCGTAACCGTCCTTGTCTTGATTTCATGCAGCGGGTTTTTTGTCTTCTTCACAATGTCGCAGGACAATAGTGATCCGGCCGATGTAGCCTATTCCATTTTCCAGATTCTGATGGGCTTTACACCAGCCGCCTGGCAAGTGTAAGTGAAGTCTAACATACACTCCATCCTGACAAGTATAACCGAGACACCTCAGAATTGGGTAGAACATGACTGACATCAAGGTTTCGCATCCGCACAGATGGCCGACATACAATTGGCTTGCCAAGGCGCTGATGGTTCTCTTCCTAATCATCTCTCATTTCGTGGTCGTGTAAGTCCTCTTTTTCCCCCGCCCTCATGTCGCTGAATGAGCGGTAAACTAACTTGGCAATAACAGTACAATTCTCATCACCGTCCTAACAAATTCGTTCATGGCTATCGCCTCGAATGCCACAGAGGAGCACCAGTAAGCACTCCCGCTGTGGCCGAGACTCGCCCCATTGTTTCACGCATTTTGCCGGTAAGCTAACAAGACCTGTAGATTCTTATTCGCCATCAACACGATATCCATGGTTAAAAATGACGCGCTCTTTTCCTACGTTGCGCCGACCAACATATTTGCGTGGTTGCTCATGCCACTTAGGTACTTCATGCCTCTAAAGCACTTTGTGTGGTTGAACCGGCTCGTCATCAAGGCCACACATTTCCCCCTCTTGTTCTGCATCTTCTTCTACGAAAGGTATTGGCTCGCGTCCTCGATGTTTGAACCCACGGATTTGGTGGAAAACCCAGGCCGTAGTCGACCGAGGACCATCTCCTTCGCTGATCCGGCGAGTCGCACTGCCGTGTTCAGCCCTAACCTTCGGGTTCGTGAAGAGTCCCTGGTTGGGTTCCAAAAGGACCATGCCTTGGAAGAGGTATTTCGTAGAGCCCCGGGCCTCAACACTTTGCGAAGTCAAAGAAGAAATGAACGGCGAAAGACACAGAACGCCATCCGGAATTGGATGGATCAGCATGATGAGGCCGGGACTTCCCCAGTTAACTGGCCGACTCTGGACAGCAACAATCGTGGATCGGAATGGGCAAGACGATTCAGCCTGGGTCGTGACCGACCACATAGGCTGCGGCAGGTTTCGGACGTTAGGTCTGCCGCCAGCGACCCTGCCGATCTGATCTCTAACAGTGGTATGGGAACATTCCCTCGTCTTACCTCGAGATCGAGACTACAACCTTTACCTTCTGAATTACGAGATCTCACCGACGCCGATGGTGACGACGAACTGGTGACAAATGACGAAGAAGAAGAAGACAATGTTACTAACACTAACACGGGTGGGAATCACGAAGATGATCCGACTGGGTCGATGGAGGAGGATGATGATGACGAGGACTACTTCACGACGCCGATGGCGAGCAAGTTCCACACAGCAGCGCCCTCTTCGTTTGAGTCGTCAAGCCAGAAATCAGCAGGGAAATCGCCGCGGTCGGCAAAACCCAGGCGCGGCTTGCATTCGCGGACACTTTCGACAAATACGATTCTGTACGACCCGCAAGATCCTCGACTGGCCCGCAGTTCATCATCAGCCGACATGGACAAGTCGCCATTGACACGTCAGGCATTTAACCGAAACTTGGACTTCGATAGTCCTCCTCCAGCCGAGACGCGGTCTCCACGGCGGACCCTCTACATGACGCCACGATCACGCCCAACAGTGACACAGAGGCCCTCCGCGGTAACCCCTCGTTCGATTCCACGAATCGCAGATCCGATCTCGCGTCTGACGCAGGCACGCCGACTTTCTTCCATCGACACGGGACCGGGGTCAGAAAGCACGAACTTGCTGGGCAACGACGCTAACATCGAGGTACCGTCGAGTTTCCAAACGCAAATGGCGATGGCGATGATGAAGCAAGGTGGGGCAGCAGCCGCCGACGCAGCAGATCGGGATCGAATGGGAAGGTTGATGCTGGCGCGGATGAAGACTCTAGAGGAGAGCTTTGCGGATGTTGTGAAGGAGATGAGGGAATTTAAGAGCAGCTCCACGGCCCCGCCGACGAGGAGAAATTCAGCAAGCGAGGGTGGCGGTGGACGGAACGCCGTGGCTATGATTGAGGTCGCCGGCAAGGATAGGAGACGAAAGGCCAAATCCACATACGGCGCCCGGAAAAGGGTGGTTGTGGCCTCGACGGCAGCACGACGGCCGTTCACCAGTGGCAGTGCGAGAGCGGAGAACTCGGCGAAAGACAAAGGAAAAGGAAAGGCGGTAGCTGTCGCTTCTGAATCCTCGGAGGAAGGCGACGCTGAGGAGAGCTTCACCGAGGATCACTTCACGAGGAGGGGAAGCTCGTTCTAGGTCGGGTCGGCATGGTGGATGCCGTATTGTTTCTATTAGTGCGCCAAGGCGGAAGGGCCTGGTTTGGCCCCCTCCTCTTCTTTTCGGCATCTCATTTGACATTACTAGTTTGGACACAAAGTCATTTTGTTTTTGGCAGCGAGAGAGAGAGAGAGAGAGAGAGAGAGAGAGAGAGAGAGATTCATCCACGGGCGCATTGGTGGGCGTTTTTGGAGGCTTTCTGTATCTGGTCTGTTATGGGCCATGTGTGTGTACCTGAGCATCTGTTTTTGCAGTACCCATTGTTTGTTGGGATGGGAGGCTATAGTCATGCACTTTCCCGGGCGTTGTGGCATTTGTGTCTTTTATTGAACTCGTCTGCGACGAGGTAATAGCATAGCTGAGCTGGGAGTTGGTCTTGTCTGCTCTATAGTTTGTATTTTTTGGCGAGGGCATTTCTGGAGAGGCATTCGGAGGATGCTCCGCAAAATTGGTACATTAATGAAGCATTGACAAGCTTGTAACTGAGTCGAGAAATGAGCATTGTTGCCGATAATGTGGGATTGAAGTGAGAATGGATTGACTCCAAGTATTATTTAGGGGTTTCATCTATCGATATGCGTCGTTCTTTGTCTCATATCTACAGTCTTTACAATCAAGCAATGGTGCGCCAGCCAGTTCCCTTGAAGTGTAAAACACTTCCCATCCCGTCATCGATAGCCATGAAAGAAGAAGAAAGAACGCCGGTTAAGACCAAGCCAGGAACATAATGAATAACGTCAAAAAAGGAATAAACCACGATCATCGACCGCCACCCTCTCTCCTTTCTTCAAATCCCGCCGCCGCTGCGATCAACAGTGACGTGGAAATTCGGCCTCGCGGGGGCCTGGGCCAGGGCGAGCTCGTTGCGGCGGGTCGCGGAGGAGATTCGGTACCGGAATGCGAGGACGGCGGTGGCTGTTGCGGTTGCGGATGTGGCGAGGAGGAGGGTGCGGCGGCGGCTGCTGGAGGATGGTATTGATCCTTTTGCTTAGTTCTTGGAGAGTTTCGTTGTATTGAGAGGAGAGGGGAGTGAGGTAGTAAGGCTTGGAGTTTACCTGATGGGGAGGAGGGCCATGATGGAGCTCATGGTGGGATGTAAAGTATGTGATACAAGAGGGAGATGAAGCGAGCTCTCGGTGTGCGGCTATCGATAAGGTGCCGCTGAGCTTGAGAGAACGTGGAGAGATGTCGTCTGCTTGTATTGGCGACCAGGGTCTTGGCTGAGGGATCTAGTCTCGCAGTTTATCTCGTCTCTTTGGATTTTATATCAGGGTAATCCCGTACAGGTGAAGCAAGGGAGTAGGAAAGAGGAGTCAAGACTACGCTATATAATAGGTACAGGCAGGCGAGAGGGAGGCAACGAATATAAAAGGTAAATCGATGTGCTTGCATGGAGCATTCTCTCCTCTCCTCTCCTCTCCAGTCCTGTACTGTCCTGTCCGGGCTTGTCTTAGATCTCCCAACAAAAGCAATCCTCAGCTGGGCGAACCCGAAAAGGGAAAGTCTCACACGAGCTGCTCCGGGTACTCCGTATCATGCACGGAGTACGGGGGAAACGGGCAATCATTGGTTTGAAGAAGACGGGGGACCAGACGATATTTTCGACGTGTCGAATGGTAGGGGTTCTTTGAGTACCCGGATATTGGAGTGTTACGAAGTACATTTAATGGGGGATCTGACGGGATTCGTCCGTTGATTGACGGATCCTGATCGTTTCAACAATGAACTCTCGGTTCATCAACCAGGACACAGTGGCGACAGTTGCCCGGAATACGGCCTTAGCTAGCACTGGTACGCTGCGGAGGGTTTGGACGGATGCGGGGTGGAATCGGGTGCAGACATTGATCTGGACGCAGTGCTATGTAGAGCAGTACCGTGCAGCGATGCCCCACCACTATCAGCGTGATGCAGAACTGGCCGGATCTAAGGAACGGGCAGGACGCCATCATTGATGCCAACATTGAACTAGGCTAGGGATGAAGTGGAAGCTGATTGCTGGGCTTCTGTCGCTGAGACCCCCACACGCTTATACCTGACATTGGCGGAGTTCACGAGGTGCCCGAGTCGTTTCGCGACATGTCTTCTCTAGATGAAGTGAAGCGTCGAGCTTTACATGTAGCTCGACCTGGTCTCCTTTCAATGCCGTCGTTCTATTGTATTACACCAGGAAGGACCTTCACCCCGCATTTCCACTATCCCGATTCCCCCTGTCGTGATAAGAAAACCGCGCTGAGAGGGCTCGGTAATCGACGAAGCTAGAATACGGATTGATAGTATCATGCAAGGATAAATGATATTTCTCGGCGCCGAAACAGATATCCAATACCATCCTCCTTGCTGCCAAGGACAGTAATGATATCTCGGCTCGCTGCGCCTGGTTGAAATCTTTCTTCCCTTTCCTTCTCTTGAACCGCCGCTAAGCCCCGTGGTCTTCCTCTGTCATATGCAACAATATGCTGTAATCTCCAATATGTACTCACTCAACGTAATCTAGGCCCTCGTTGTCCATTGCTGCGACTCCCCATCTATCCCATGGCGTTCTATAATCCAACATTTGGAAATCATTCACATAACCCAAGCCTCCTCCATCATCACGAAAAAGAAACAAGACGGAAAAAAAATCCTTCAGGCCCCCATATCCCTCAACACCTTCTTATACTCCTCCACCTCCCTCACCATATCCTCCAACGACCTCCCCTGCCTCAAAGCATCCTCAATCCTCGCAAACCCACCCCCCGCAACCGGCCTCTCTCTCCCCTCCAACGCAACCCGATCCCACAGAGCCCCGCCAATATTCCCCTCCTCGGCAGCCATCCGCTCATACAGCGCGTCGCCCTCGCCCGAGGGATCCTTGGCCGACACGTCGCGTATCCTCGGGATGACGTGCACGTGGACGTGCGGCACCGTCTGGCCCGCCTCCGAACCGTCCTGCAAGGCGATGTTGAACGACCCTTCCTCGGGCGGCGCGGGGATGGTCGCGCCCGTCGACGTGGGTGTGGGGCGGAAGTAGTACCGCGCCAGGAGGCGCTGGACTAGCTGTACGGTGGTGAAGAGGTCGGTGATTTCGGGCGTGGTGAGGTCGGTTAGGCGTTTGTGGCGTGTTAGGGGGCAGACGAGGACGTGACCTGGTAGGAGGGGCTTGAGGTTTACGAGGGCGAAGGAGTGGGGCGTTGTTAGGAAGACCTGTAGATTTGGGGGAACGTAGTCGGTTAGCTTTCCGGAGTTCTTCTCGTATGGTAGGTAGTATAGCAGATTGGGAGAGGCAGAAGAGGGAATCAACTTGCTTGTCGGGTCACCTCGAAGGGGCCGAAGTGGATCTGGGCCGATGTCGAGGTCGACATGTTGCGATGGAATAGTTTCAGAGGACCAAGTACTCGCCCGCAAGCCCTTCCCCCAGCATGCATCGTATCTCGGTCAGAGTCGGAGTTGGTATTAAAAAGAAAGAAAGAAGAGAAAACCAAGAGGTACGGTTTTCGGGCCCTTGTCGTCGTCCTCTTTCCGAGGGTCCCCACTCTTACTGTAGTCAAGGCGGAATCTATAAAAATTGCCGCTGGGCTGGGTGCCGAAAGAGAGAAGAGCTGGCCTCAAACTCGGGACGAGGGGGACAGACACAAGAAATATTATCGAACGAGATAAAAGCGTGTCGTCCTCGTCAAGGGTTTCCGCGAAGGGGAGCTCGGGGGCGGTTCGACCCTCAGTCGATGTGTGGGTGGCGCGAAAGATCAATTGATGTGAAGCTTGGCGAATGGGATTGACAAAGATTGAAGAGGAATTGCTAAGCAATTGCAATAACCTCTCAATTGATGGAGAACAGCATTCGACACGGCAATTAGAACCTCCCGCGCCCATAACCCCGCGCCCGGACCCGCTGTAACTCTGCCAAACTAATTGTAGCCGTGATTGAAGGAACATTAAAACGTCGTGTTTAAATGAGATCAACACCTCTTCATAAAAACATATTCATATATCGAATCGTGAACTAGGGGATTACTGGAGTATCAATTCACCAAAATCACTCTCGTATAGAAACGTAGGAAATTCTGTAAACAAAAACGAAAGACACGGCCTGGTTCTAGCTCACTCCTGGGATACCATCACGTTGAGATAAATCATGATGTGAAGACATGTCCTAACCCCCCGGACCCTCTATGTTCCAGCTCTAACCCTTGGCTATGGAAAACACCCTGGAGGCGAGCCACTAATGCGCTCTAGAATGTACATATAAGTAGGAGAATAACGAGAGAAAAGGAATGGCTTCCTCAGATGAGAAGCTCTTCCTCCAACGCCGAGTCCGACGTAGTTGGCCGAGGTGCTGGAGACGGCGGAAGTGCATCGTCCCTCACGTAGACTAATAGAGACCACACATGGTTAGCAAATAACAACTCTCAAATCTAAAAAAGACATCCAAGGGTTCCTCCTTACTATGAGGTTTGACGATCAGACTCGCCGCCAGCGAAACGCTAAAGAGAGCCGCCAACAGGATAAAAATGGCCTGAGGGTATGTGTCGAGAGTCGCATGGTACAGTCCGTTGAATGCGAGTGGCGCCGCCACCCTAGCTAATCCGTGCAAGAGTCCAACGGCGCCGAGAAGCTGTCCGACCTTTTCCGGCGGTACATGCTTCGTAATCGCCGCTTGAATCGTCGCGCTACCGAGACCGCCGAAAGCTGTGACTATACCACTGAGAACAAAGAGAGGCTCGGTGCTCGCGAAGAAGTAACCCGTGGCACCAAGGACATCGGAGATTAGTGCCGTCCTGATGAGCCAGATGTCCAACTCATCGCAGCCCTTGTTGGTTTCAACAACCCGACCGGGGAAGAGGCGTCGCCGGCGGGCGGCCGGGCGAGTTCGGAAGATGTAATTGATGAGAGGGAGAATCGCCATGAGAACAAAGGCTCGCACAGTAGACACAAGCGACACGAATTGAGAGCTCCTGTAATTGTCCCACTTGAACACGTACTCGCTGTACAGGATAATGACCGTCCCTGCGCCCATGGCGGCTCCGAGGAGGACCATGTCCACGAGAGCCAGTGAAATAATGTTGCGGCGGAACCGCGACGTCGCACTGGGATGCTTGTTGTACAGTATCCTAAGTGGCGCAAACGGATTTCGATGACGTAGTGAGCTCAGCCAGCTATTGTCCTCCCCTCGCGCCTCGAGTTCCTTCGAGTACTTCTCTCGACTGAGAAGCTGTCGCCTCTTCGATACAGATTCTGGAAGGACGAATAAAACGAACAAGACGAAGAAAACGTGGCAGCCGAGAGCCACGTAGAATATAGAGACAAGCTCGTTTCCGGTATGTTTGATAAATTTGGCCGACAGGATTGGGCCAAGCGCAAGACCAGTGAAGAGGCAGGCGTGTAGATATCCGATAGCCACACTTCTCTTCGAAGGCGGAGTGCAGTCGCTGGCGTATGACTGGCCAAGGATAGTCCCTGCAGTGAACGAGCCGGTGAGTCCATCAAAGACCGATCCGAGTATTATCCACCTATAGTCAACAACGTCCGGGAATTTCGCCGCAACAATTGTAATAATCTCGCCAATGATGCCTCCACAAGACGAGAGAGCCAGCCACTTGGCTCGGCCATACCTGTCGGACAAATGCCCGAGTTTGGGCGCCGAAATAGCACTCAGCAACCCGACCGCAAGGTTCATCACCAGCGTCATCTTCGTGGCGGTCTTCTGGACTGGTGAGATCTGGCATTCTTCGTTATTCCCACCAAGAATTACGGGTGGGAAAACCAGGCCAGGGTTTTTGGAGGTCTGGTCGGCGAAGTATTCTCGGCAAATCAAGCTGATGATTCTATATTGGTCGAGTGAAGCCATGGGTTAGCGCACCGGCGTCGCATAGCGCGTGCGTAGCAGAACCACGGGGAGGAAAGGAAAGAGATTAAGTTTCGCCCGAAACCCTTACAAATTGAGCTTTGGTACTATGATACCGCCAAAGGCAAGTGTATAAAGGAAGAAAGGCCCGACCAGCCAGTAAACCTGAATCACCATGCTGGTTAGAATACAATCCAATCCACTTGGACAAGAAGTCCTCCCGAGCATGTCTTCATTATCTTTGGCGTCCCGGGAAACATACAGAGGGCTTGCGCCACCACGGATGGCCATCGAAGTCCTCCGCTCCCGCCCAGGTATACCTAGGTCCAACACTCGTGGCATTGCTGGTCGCGCCATCTAACAGTCGTGTCGTCTCGGTTACATCGTTTCCAATGTTGTTCGGATTAGGCCCGCGACCATCGCGCTCAGCGCCGGTTGAGAGACCGCCCATGGCTCTTGGGTCTGGGCCGGTTCAACAAACCGGAGACCTGATGCGCGTGTGGTTCAGAGGCCGGGATGCAAGTTGCGATCCGGCCGAAGCAGACGGGTTAGTTGGCTTTTGACTTGTAGTAAGCTTTTAAAATAGAATTGTCGAGCTGTATTCCAATCTTAGGAGCTCGCCGGTGCCGGAGGTATCAAACAAAATCGGAGGGTTGGCGAGCGATACGGACCGATCAAGACCAGAAGTTAGGAGTGGGTCGAAGACAATGGGAGGGTGCTGGTCGCACTCTTATATGGGATCGTGCCCGAATGCATTGATGGTTCGGACTTAAACCAGAGGCCGGCGGATAAACCCCAGCGGTCTCATGCAGGTGCAAGAATTAATACGTGGTGAGACAGGATTGAAGGTCCTGGCGGAATTCCGGTTGGGTTGGTGGGATTGGGTTGTTTTAAAGACCAGGGCCAACCCGGATAGTATTTGTCGGGTCCGATGTGAGTTAACTCAATCCTTGTTACTTCGTATTTCGTCCTCCGTCATACAGGGCCCAGCTCTGGATGATAGTCAGGGGATGCAAATGCGCACAACACACAACACGGCGAGTTCACCAAGTATGAATGGTTCGTAGCTTTCTGGAGAGGTTGGAAGAAGAGGGGCTGCCAACAAGACAGCTTCGGCAGGTGGTAGTTTTGGATCAGTGAGTTTCTTTTGCCCGAATTGGAATTGGTTGGCTCAACTTGGTTGATTACGAGAGAAACGTCTCCGATGAGGTTTTGAAACTTCTCATCTTTGCAGTTGATGACGTGCCCCTGGGACCTTCCTGATCTTGGGAACCAATTACAGCAGTACTTTATTCTGTAGCCTAATGTTATCGCTCGCAGAAGAGCATCGATAGCATGCCACGATACCATGCGACGATACCATGCGAAGCCATTGATGCTGTCCCAAGATTCGTTGGAAGTGCTGCCCAATTCAGCTTCGATCTTGTCGCTGACACTGACACTTCATGATTTGATTTCTAAGCACTTAGCACAGGAACTGGCCCAGCTCCAATCGGGCTTAGTGAACCTTGATCTACACTCTTGTACTTTTGTACCGCTGGGGACCGGTATGAGTACCTTACCCCAGGGTTGAGCTCTTATCAAGAATAACTCAGATCAGAATATTTGTGGAGACCAAGCAACACTGCATTGTGGATGCCATCCATGCATCGGCCTTGTTGGGAACTCATCAACGATTCGGCATTCATTGAGATTAAGGAACGTATCGGGGATTGGCGGGGGAATCATGAATTTGATCATGGATCAATCAATTCACGTCCTTCGTATCACTAATCAGAATAAACGCGTGATCTTCTCGATGTCGGTGTGTCCAGATAGATGCGGGTCTATTGTCAAGGCACCCAGGCTCACCGAAAACGCTGAGTCAGCAATGCTGCAGCATCAATCCAAATATTTTCTTTAGCAGGCACGAACATGCAATTATGTAGCCTCGAACGCATCATCGCCGCCACCCCCTACACGGCACCACGACATTTCCTTCCCCCACGCTTCCATCGTCCCCAACTAGCCAGCAAAAATGCCAGTCGTAAAGGGAGGCGTGTGGACCAACATCGAGGATGAAATCCTCAAGGCCTCCGTGTCTAAATATGGCCTGAACCAGTGGGCTCGCGTGTCCTCGCTGCTAGCCCGCAAAACACCCAAGCAATGCAAGGCGCGCTGGAACGAATGGCTGGACCCGAGCATCAAGAAGATCGAATGGAGCCGCGAAGAAGATGAGAAACTCCTACACGTCGCCAAGCTTATGCCCACGCAATGGAAGACGATAGCCCAGATTGTCGGTCGAACCGCGAACCAATGTCTCGAGCGATACCAGAAACTCCTCGACGAGGCCGAAGCGCGTGAAGGCCTTAGCCTCACGGGAGCCGACGCGGAGACGAGAGCGCCCACCGCCGAAGATGTGCGAAAGCTTCGTCCCGGCGAGCTCGATCCCGATCCGGAGACGAGGCCGGCGCGACCCGATACCATCGATCTCGACGAGGATGAGAAGGAAATGCTGAGTGAGGCCCGAGCGCGTCTCGCCAACACGCAGGGAAAGAAGGCGAAGAGAAAGGCGCGAGAAAGGCAGCAGGAAGAGTCGCGCCGTTTGGCTGCTCTCCAGAAACGGAGGGAGCTCAAGGCGGCCGGCATCAACGTCAAGGTCACTACCAAGAAGAAGGGCCAGATGGACTATAATGCCGATATCCCGTTTGAGAAGAAGCCGGCGCCCGGATTCTACGATACCAGTGAGGAGATGGCTAAAAACGAGCATCAGCGCACACATTTCGATCCGCGCAAGGTACAACTTGCAGCGAAGAGGAAGGGTGAAGGGGACGAAAACGCCGACAGGAAACGACGCAAGGACGACAAAGATGCGCCGTCGGCGTCAATTCAGGCCGCCATCAAGGCGGGCCAAATGCAGAGGATTCGAGAGGCGGAGCAGAGCAGCAAACGGCGGGCTCTCGTCCTACCGGCTCCCCAAGTCAGCGATGGAGAGCTTGAAGAGATTGTCAAGATGGGTGTCATGGGAGAGAGGGCCAGTACGACGGCGCGGGAAAGTGAGAATACGGCGACTCGTGGACTTATCAGCGACTATTCTACCCTCAATACCAACGCGCCTATTCGAACGCCGATGGCGCCTCCCCAGGAGGATCACATTACCAACGAAATTCGGAATATCCGCGCACTGACGCAGACCCAATCCTCCCTCCTAGGCGGTGAGAACACCCCCCTCCACGAAGGCTCAGCCTCCACTGGCTTCGACGGTATCGCTCCCCGGAAGCAAGTCGTTGCTACACCGAATCCCCTAGCGACCCCTCTACGCGCTGCCCAAAACGGTGTTGGTGCTACCCCCTTGCGACCTGGGCAAACACCGATGCGCACCCCACGCGATAGCTTTGCTTTGAACGCCGAGGATGGAGTGTCGCTGGCATCGGCTACGCCTCGAGATATCAAGACGCACAACCTGGCTATGCGGCAGCAGCTTCGGAAAGGGCTCTCCTCGCTTCCAAAGCCCAAGGATACCGAGTGGGAGCTAGAACTCCCCGAGGAGAAGGAAGAGGTCTTTGACGACGAGGGTGCCCGGGAAACAGACGCCGCAGAGAGAGACCGCAGGGAGCGGGAGATTCGGGAGGCTCGCGAGGCGCTAGAGCGGAGGAGGCGGACGCAGGTCATGCAGAAGAATCTCCCCAGGCCTACCTATATCAACATCTCCGAGCTGCTTGCGAACGTGGATCTAGACTCGGAGTCCCCCGAGGCTTTGATAGCGAAAGAAGCGGCTGCCCTGATGGCCAATGACGCCATCAAATATCCCGTGGACGGAATCAAAGTCGCCGGGAAGGCGCCGACACTACAGACACTCAGTGATGATGCCCTGGCAGAGGCCGGTCTCCAAATCATGCTCGAGACGAAACCGATCCCGAGTCTACAGGTTATCCAGGATACCTTTGACTCGCGGAACAAAAATGCCATCCTTCTAGGCCTGGGCTGCTACGACGATGACGAAGAAGAAGAGAAGGTGGCAGCCGTTACCAGTGCCTTTGATGTAAGCTTTTCTCCCTCGACTTATTTTTTTTTATAAAAAAAAATATATATTCCCGTGATGTAACTAACCATCGCCACCTCATCAGGACATTCAAAACGAGATCCAAGAGACCGCCCAACGCAACGCCAAGATCGAGAAGAAGCTCGCCCTCCACCTCGGCGGCTACCAGAAGCGCCAAAAGGCGCTGCGCGAACGCATCGTAACCGCCGCGCGGGACCTCGCCAAGGCCGAGAACGCCCTCGGCGCGTTCAAGACGCTCGCCGTGTCGGAGGAGGTGACCATCGCGCGGAGGCTGGAGGCGCTGAGGGAGGAGGTCGGGTTCGTTAGTCGGAGGGAGAGGGAGGCGCAGGAGGAGTATAGGAGGTTGAAGGATGAGTTGGATGGGTTGGCGGCGGTGACGAATGGGGTTTATTGAGTGTTTTTGGAAAGTCCCGTCATGTGGTTTGGTGAAGAACATGGTGGGGGTAGTTTGTGAGAAGATACATAATGGGTCCTTTGTAAACTGTATTCCCTGGGCTGGGTTCATGGGCATTGATAAGAGACAACAATAACACAAAGCATATGGTATGGAACACTCACGTCTGATCATACAAGTGAGCATTAACATAGTAGGCCATGCCTGAGCCCCGGGGGGGAGCCCACCTGGGATGCTACATCATAGCCATACTGTCTACAGAGTTGGATATGAGCGTTCAATCAATATATTGATCATTAATCTTTCTTGGATACTTGCGGTTGGCTTGCTCCCTCAACATCCCTCTTCCATTCTCAGTCCATAATTTCAAATGACTCCTCTATGTCTCGACATAAATGATGTCGAGCGGGAGAGAAAAAAAAAAAAAAAAAAAGACAAACAACGCCATAATAGGTGCATTTCCGGATCCGTGTACTCCCGTTTTGCCTATGCCTACCCTCTGCGTAATGATTTCATAGCTGCCAAACTCCAGCGTCGCAGCCTTTCTTCATTCCTTGGAAACAGATGCCGAATTTTTCTTTCCCACGATCCCTTTGCGCCATGACAAGGAAGCTCATCAAGCCATGTTATATATTAAGATTTGCTCTCTTGCCCTTCACTTGCCAGAACCGCCGCAGCTAAGATGCCGGCACCCGTAATTCCTCCACAATGGCAAGGTTTCAACTCCACCTCGACGGGGATCTGGGGTCCAAACTCCTCGGAAACGATCTGGCTCAGAAGCTTCTCGTAATCGTAGAGGTAGTTTTGAAAGTTCACGATGCAGCCACCCGTATAGCCGACGCCTAACTTCTTCACGCCATTCCGTGGAGGGGAGGCGCTCTTGACGTCGGGCACAGGCGGGACCTCGCCGGCGACTCTGAGAAGGGAAATCGTGGCCGCCGCGAGAATCGATGCGGCTCGGTGTTGAATTCCCTGGGCGATCTGGTATAAAGCCTCGACATGCGACTCGTTCCACCGGAAGTGGGAGGGCCCCGTTGCCGTGGGGAACGCATTCTCTAGCTTCTCCAGAAAGCGAGGGTTCGGAGGACCGAAGTAACTAAGGAACGTCGTGGACATGGCATATCTCTCAAGCAGAGCGCTCGGTAGCAGTGCAGGGGCGATTCCGAGTTCTGTGGTTAGATAGTCGAGAAAGATGATGCGTCCCAGCTCGCCAAGGTATCGTCCGGACGTGACGTATTCCAGAGGCTGAAAGCCGGGACTCTCGCCTGCGCGATCGAGCTCTTCATCCCATTTTGTGATTAGTCCTAGCTCTCTCAGTGGAACAGCAGTCCCGTTTATCGTCCATTCTGTGTTGACGGCGATTCTATTATGCTTGGGTCCCGAGCTGATCTCGGAGCCGAAGGAGACGGAGCTGATCTTATTAGCCATTATTTCCAACGGTAAGGTAACTGTCGCGTTACAGCCGGTGCCGACTATGAGACCCATCGCGGGTACTCGGTTCTCGGTTTCGCCATACTGATAGATGAAAGAGACGAGGGTTGCCACGGAGTCGTTGGCAATGGCTGCGATGCGGATCGAGGGAGTTCTGGTGTTCGGTGTTTCTCGTAACCTTGTAACAGCTGAGAGCCTAGGTCGGTGCCTTCGTCTAGTTTAAATCCCTTCCCCATCGACATTAAAATTGCCTCCGAGAGTGATCGCTGTAGCATGGGAAAGCTGAAAGTGACGCCCATGGGGAGTACCTCGTCCGGGCTGAGGCCCCATTTCAAACGCCCATCGTTCACCACCGCAGCAATGGTTTTCCCTACCCAGTCGAAAAGGGCAGTTGGGTTCTTGTGTTTCAGTTGCTCACCGATGGGACATGACCTCTCCAAAAGGACATCGACGGTTGGTGGTTTGGAGTCATCCTCGTGGAGAAGTCTCACAAACCCAACACGGAGATTGGTGCCACCACTACATTCGGTTGTTAGTCCATGTCCTCGCCTTTCAAGCAAGTAGACCATAGGGTAAAGCCTGGCGGCTTGTAGGTTGAGCCTGAGTTTAAACAGGTATGCTTTGCATCAAGTTGTACAGGTTGTAAGAGCAGGTATTGGATAACTTACATGTCAATGGCCAATTGCCTAGGAGGTAAGAGAATAGGATCAGTTAGCACATGTGAGCCAATCCAAGATGAGCTCAACTTGCCCCTCACTGATGTGACCTGAGAGGGGGCAAAGGAGCGAGACAATGAAGAGCAACAGTAGCGTTGCATCTCCATATGCATTCATTGCGATGGTGGGGGAATGGGGAAAGAGTGGCTGGCGAGCACTTACCTGTTTAGGCAGCCCTCCTGTTTGCTAAAGTCTCCAATGGGCCGGAGCAGGGACGTCAAAATAGGTGTTGGGAGGAATTGATTCTGAGAATTTGCGGCCAAGTGCCTAAAGGTGGCTTCGAACCTTCGAGTGAGGTCAAGCAGCTTTTTGGAGTCGACATGAAAGGCAGAGAGATATTGGGCGAGCGGGGTCGGCAGAGTCCTCGCCTCAGTCACGACTACCGACAGGGATTTGGCGACCGTCATGGTGGCGAAGGAACCACGAGCGATGAGGGTGACGTTGTCCACCGAGATTATTCAGGAGCGTAGGATGGACAGCAGGTGGCTTCTCTCGTCGTGGGAGAGGCGAGGGTAGTGGCGACCTGGGCCTTTGGATGTTGGAAGGTGAGAAGGCGAAGTTCAGTGGGAGATGTAAGGCGGTCTGAAGCTTGAGGTAGGTAGAGGTAGGTAGGGCTGTGGGTAGAAGCTGAGAAGGGTGTGTAAATATTTATATGGCTCAATGTTCCCTCGAGATAGTGAGAGTGGATATGATCAAAGCAGTGAATGTATAAGAGGCAGTGTTGGGACGTTGGGTCAAATCGTCAAAGGTATCGATCAATCGGACAACATTGAAGTGATCAATTGGGAGTGTGGAGGGAGTGTGGGGTGTCAAGAGCTCAGGGGAGGGTGTATACGAAGCAGAAACATCGAAAGGAGCCGAGTCTGTTGAGAGGTGGGCCTTCTTCGTTAAGAGCAACTAGCGTAGAGAGTGACAGCGGCGGGAACTAGAGGGAAGGATCAATGGATGATGCCTCCACCTGCCAATTCATCTGGTCAAACCGAGCTGACGTTTCGTTGGTACCGGGGGAGAGCTAGAGGTGTGGATGAAATTGCAATCGTGATTCACGGCAACAATCAACAGCCATAGATTGTGGGGGGTTTGGACGACAACTGTACACGACAACATTCGACAACTTTGAACTACTTCGTACTGCCGATTTGACAACGGAGCATTCTCAGAGCTCCACAAAACATGTAAAATATCAGCTAGGTTGGGGGGAGATGCGATCGGCCTAATGCATGCAAGTAATCAATTGATGGCCTCGTACCTGCAAAAGTCTTAAATTTTCCTGCAGTCGAGTCTAATGATATAGACTCGAGATGGGACTAGTGACAAGAACCGATCCCTCGATGTTTCCTATTTTGGGATGCGACGTTGACGAGGCGAGGCGAGGCGAGGCGAGGCAAGACTGTAAATAGGTGGGCGGGCTGGGTATCATTGATATCAATGGCATAACTCATTGATATAATTGTAGGCGGGGCGCGGGACGTTGCGTGGGAACAATCGCCCACGGCGCCTGGCTTTGCTGCTTCAATTAGATCAATTGATTGATCCCAAGATCGATGATAATCCAATGTTAGTTTGTGGAACACCGAACACTTTTGAATGCGGAACTGAGGGAGTCGGTCCAATGTTGGTGCCAGGGGAAGCCAGCTGGCCAGCCAGCCAGGCCAAGACAGCACAGCACGGTAACACCGAAGATTAGTGGTTGCCCAGCCATCCTCTGGCCTCCAGGCGGTAGCGCCGAAGGCACACCGGAGTGAGACTGGGGATTTGATGCTACTAAACAGAGCCGAATTGTGGTGCGGGACGAAGTGCCACGCAAATGAGTCCAGCGGTGATTGCCCTGGCTCGAGGCTATCTTTCTCGGGGATAATATGTCAAGTACACAGAGATGGCGTCAAGTCAGATGGCAATGTTAATGGCCGGCCAAGCCTATTGAGGCATGAAGGGTAAATCTACAAAGACCCAAGGTCTCTACTCCTCGTTCTTCCAGAAACGAAAAATGGATATGGCTGCCACTTCATCATTCTTTATCTAACGCTTAGGCTCGGATCTCAGACGACCCAAATCTAGGAGGCCTTTCCCGTCTGCTTTGAGGTCTCTCGTTGGGCTTTATTTGCTTAAGCCAAGGTCAGGGGTGTTCAAGAAGGAGTACCTGTCGAAATCCACTAACATTTGATGAATCGGCGAGGGACGCGGCGGAATGTATCCATGTCCGCCACGCCACTCTCTCAAGACACTGAGTAAGCTTCTTGTCCGAGCTCCTTCAGCGGCTTTCTAAAGTTAAGAGGGCCCAAGCTAAGACAAGCTGCCGAAAGCAACATCATGTAAATAATGTAGGCCCGAGAATCGCAACAGTAAACCTGGCGCGTGAGATATCACGGAGGTAAATTGCGCCGAGGTACGGAGTAGATGTCTACGAAGTTAGGGTACGCAGTCACCCTGGATTGGTTCGAGTCGATTAAACTTCGTAACTCTCACTCTCACTTCGTATGGGGGATCCGGCACGTCAACACTGCCCTTCCTGACGAAATTATCCTCGAGGGGTCCTCTGTGTTTCTAGTCTTCTCTGACGCCCATGTGATGTGCTCTTGTGCTTCAGGCAGCTGCTTCCTGATGCGTAGTTCCTCGATTGTTTTGTTTTGTCGTCCATGTCCTTGGGGGAGTAGAATGTTGTACTTAGTTTGAACCAGATATTAATTATACGTGAAGTTGTATGGGGATGTGGCCTGTCTGGTACAAGTCTTGAGGCACATATGAAGTACATACATACGCATATTGATAGTTAGTGACGTTTACCCACTTTGCGAAGCTCGTCCTATGGAAGCTCCAAAGCAATCAATCAATCAGTCGGTTGACACCTCAAATAAGCTAGCCCGCTTTAACACTTTAACCACTACCCACCAGAAATCCCTCCACGTTTGATTAGCACCCGACTTGAAGTTAACCTCATCATCACCCACTTCAACCGCCACCGCTTTACTGCTGTATTGACGGCAGCCTCGCCCAGAACATGCCTCCGAACGAGAAGCATTTGCTACCTACAGCATCTCCGCCCACGTCACCGATGGTCCGATCCCGCGCCGCGAGACACCTGCTCGCGCTTTCCGCCATCCTCCTAGTCGCCTGGTATTCTCTGTGGCACTGGGACTATCTCGCTCGCCCATCCAGCCCCGACGCTCCCCCGAAAAGCAGCCAACATGGCGGCGACGATGCTTCTGCGCGCCTCGAGAGCGCGCTAGTACCTTTCGAGGCTCATGTCATGAGCAAATGTCCAGATGCGAGGGTTAGATGCTTTCCCACCACCACAGCCGCGCCTTCGCAGCTACTGTCACTGCCAGCCTCCTTTTCACCCGTCGGCCGACTTCGGGCTAACGTAAACGTGATGCACAGGACTGTCTGAGAGAGATGGTTTTGCCGGCAATGCAGAGAGTGCACGACAAAGTCAACTTCACCCTCTCATTTATCGGAACGTAAGTGGACCCGGTGTCTTTCACGATTGCGTGTCAGGAACCTCGACTAATCGGACCTTTCTCGGACCCTCTAGACCTACCGACAACGACGGTGTAGCTTGCCTACATGGCCCCCAGGAGTGTAAGACCCCCGGTGAACCACGGCGATCTCGATCTCTCTTTTCTTTTTTTATCGCTGTCGCTACGAAACGCCACCAGCTAACACCCGAATCTACACAGGCATGGGAAACATCCTCGAGCTCTGCGCCTTTGAGCTATACCCCGACCCTAAGATCTCCCTGGGCTTTACCATGTGCATCTCGCGAGACTACACCCACATACCCGAGCGAACTCTTATTCAGGACTGCGCTCTCGAGCACGCCATCGATTTCAAGGCTTTGAACGAGTGTGCGTCCGGCGACGACGGCGCCCATGGCGTTGATTTGCTGCGCAAGAGCGTAATACGATCCAAGGAGGTAAGCGAATCGCGATAACCCCACTGGGAATGATTCTGCAGAAAGGAGGGCATCTCGCATCGGCAGCGCCACCACCACCAGGAGGAGATCGTATTTTTGCTAACTGCTCTTTGCTTTTTTCAACCCCAAAATTAGGCCGGTGTCACCAAGAGCTGTACCGTGCGACTCAACGAGGAAATCTATTGCGTCCGAGACGGCGGCAAATGGGGTCCCTGCCCAGGCTCCCCCGACGTCGACAAGCTCGTCAACTCTATCGAGGATCTATACCAGTCTTCGTCTTCTTCTGCTTGAGCGGCCCAAACACCTGCTCCCACAGCTCGCTCGCCTCTCCCACCGTATAACTCATAGCGACAGAGTCCATCCCAGCCTCCTCGTCGTCCGCACCCATGACCTTGAGCGTCTCGATGATGCTCTCCAGCCCCACCGCCTTCCCCGTCGCCTGTGTGGCTCCAGCCTCGAGCGCCACGTGTACGATGTGGATATGGAAATGGTAATAGGTCGGCTGATAGTGGACGTATAGCTTCAGCTGATCCGCGTCGATGGAAGGATACGTTTTCACCGTCGCCGCCACCACTTTCTCCTTCATGTGCTCCAGCCAGGGGATGTGCTTCTTCCTTAGGTCCCTCAGGCTCCAGATGTCGCGACGCTCCACCAGCGCCAGCAAGTGCAGTGCCTCGAGCGTCTTGCGGTCCCAGTTCAGGTCCGGCAAGAGTAGGAAACCCTCGTCGCCGGCTTTGCCTAATTCCGTCCTGTATATAACGTCCTCGACCTCTTTGCGTCCCTCGATAATGTTGTAAGCCCAGTTTAGTCGACCCTGTTCGCGCTTGCTCTGCATGTATGGTCTCACGTGGTCCCTGTAGATCTCGGGCGTTTCGGTGACGAAGCGCACGCCTTGTTTGCTGTACTTTTTGATGTGCGCCTCCGTGCAGGGGTAGATGAGGTTAAGCTTCATGTCGGCAAAGAAGCTCCCCGAGTCTTGCGGCTTTGCTGTGAGGCCGGCGCCGTTGGCGGCCATGTACCAGTGGTAAATGTCATTAGCTCCTAGGTTAGCCAGGCGAGCTAGCGTTCCGGGAACGGAGCCGAGATACTCTTCGTCCGTTGGCCACGGTGCCCTCTCGAGGATGAGGAGGGCGGGCTGCGAGTCGATTTCGCCAAGGAGAGAGATTCTTCTTCCAGCCTGGTCTATTTATCGTTGAGAAGGAGTGAGGAGTTTGCTTATGTTAGTTTAGGGTCTCCTTATTTATTATTATTTATTATGAGCTTTTTTTTTTTTTTTTTTTTTTCCTTCTCGGAACATGTTCTTGGTTTTGTGAAAAGGGTCTTGGGAAGTGGAAAACAAGGGTTGGGAAGCAAGAACCTTGGTTGAGTGCCCTGACGAGCTTGAATTTGGGAATGAGCGCCTCTGCGGCGGCTTTGCTCTCGACCATCTTGCTCGATTCAAACTTGTTCTCTCTTCTGAATGGTCACCGTGTTATGATAATATTGGAATAGGTTATTGAAAGAGGCTTGTGCAAGGCTGAAGACAAGTCGGCCTGGGTGATCCAAGAGAGCACAGGCAGTTGGACATTGTTTTAATGGCGGGGTTGTGGGGGAGGAGGGGCTAAGATAAGGCGCGTTCTCCGGAGGCTTCGTTTCATCTACCCAACTTAGAGACAATTGAAGCATTGATCGAAGGATAGCAAGCCCTCCATGATTTACAAAGTACGTTGCAGCAATCACTAAACCTGCGCAAGAGCACGTTTAATCTTGACGAGAGAAGAGAAAACAGAAGTTCTTTTTTGTATATCTAGCTATGGAGATACATATATGGCGCTGAAACCGTCCAGCAAATGCACAATGTTGCCCAAGTTCATTGCAATCATATCCAGTCATTAAATACCTTAGAGAAAAACGAGAAATTAAAGCTCAAAGCGGAACTAGGAAATCGAGATGTTTTGGGGGGCGATACGATAAGGTCCTCCCGGTTTTGCATCGCGTATCTCCTGAGCAATCTCGTCCATTTCCTGGCTCGTCGGACTCGATGCTACTCCGATCGCGATCGGTTGCAAATACGAATCCAACCACAGAAGAAAAGTGGCGGATGAGAAGAGTGTCCACCAGGAAAGGAGCTAGGATATCGTCTCCGCCCCGAGATACACCGAGAGAGTTATCCAACAGCAAAAATGGAAAGGCAGACCAGGAAAGTAGCGAAGGATGAGAACCAGAAGCCAGCAAGAGGAAATGTGGAGTATAATGGCAATACCCAAAACATACCATATTTGCAGTATATAGCTGGACGACAGAAAAAGGGGTAAGGCAAAAGCAGTTGAGAGAGAGCGCACCGAGGCAAAAACCAACAACAGAGCAGAAGGCGACTTTCCCAACTCCGACTCAAGATCAGACAATGCCATCCCGCTACCAAATTCGCAAAACTGTTCGGATTTTCTTTTTTCCTTTATCGTGAAGAGAGTCGATTTGCTTTACCCGCCCAATCCAAAAATTTTCATCATGATGTTTTGAAAGTCCAAGTGACTGGCAGCAGCGAAGTAGGAAACAATTAAGCAAAAATAAGAAAAGAAAAAAAAACATGTTGGTCTCTCGCTATGCAATGTCCCGTCCAATGTGTAAACCCCCCGCCTGTTTAGAAAATAGAGTTGGATTCGCGTAGATATAGAGACCCAAAAGTGGGTGATCAATCTTTGACATGTTGCCAAGTACGATCGCCAGTAAATGTGCTAGGCTGTGACGAAGTCGTGTAGGTATGAGGTTCCCAAGGTATTAGGGCGAGACGGATGATGGCGATAGATCAATGCCACGGGGCACGATCAGGGCTTTGGGAGTATTACTCAAGAAAACGGAAGATGTATTATCCGTTCATGAGCTGCCTAAGCCGATGGAGCCGCGGGCGTGGAAGCCACCACCTTGGGATCGACTTCCAAGGCGCCAGTGTCTCCAACGAGTGGAGAATCGGCAACGATCTTGGCATCCATATCTCCTAGGGCCTCATCATCGTCGTCGGCTTCGAGTGCACCCGATTCCATTGCCTTTGCAACGGCGGCTGCGACTCTCGGAGGTGGTCGCCTGGCTTCTCGAGCATCTTTTACGACGCCCGTGTCTTTCATCGAGCTGAGATCGCGTCTCACCGCAGGTGGACGATGTGTCCTGAACTTGGGAGTTTCAGGTGTCTCCTTGGCCAGCTCCGGTTCTTCACGCAATATCCTCTCCATCTCCTTGTCGGCCAACTCTTTGGTTTCGCCCAGTCGTCTGGAAATATTGCCAATCTCCTCGTTGCAGTCACCGTCGCGAAGGAACTGGTGGGCTGCCCTCTCAGACATGCTCTGGACGTATTCGAGGCCCTTGTCGAGTTTGTCGTAGAAATCGTTGGCGTCACCGCCGGCCCCCCTCATGCCCCTACGGGCAAGAGCAGGAGACAGAGCGGACGAACGCGCAGCACTGAGATATCGGATGGATGGCAGCGGTCGTGGCGGGGCATTCGGGTCGTCTTCATCGTCATCGTCATCATCCTGGTTGTCCAACTCGGCTAACCGTTTAATTTGTGCGACTTTGGCAGCCATCTTGGCCTTACGCATCAGATTCCGGGAGGCGGAAACAAATTTGACGAGCTCTTCGAAGAAGCTCTCGACGTAGCTGTCGTAATACACGATGATCATACTTCGGGACCGGTAAGCTGCAGGGTTGCCCTCGACGGAGACGATAGATTGTGATCGATGACGCTTTCGAACCTGGGCTCTGGCATGGGCCTGGGCTACTGCCATGGCGCGCTTAGTCTGCTGTTTGAGCTCGGTCGACGTCACCGCGGGATCGGCAGGGGATGTAGGGGTTGCCGGCTGAGGGGCCTGCTCCGAGTTGTCTTGGTTGGGCTCGTCAGGCCCCGGACTGGGATGTGCCACTTCGCCATCCTCCTTTCGCAAAAGCGACTCATTCGAGCCTCGGTTTCTGATAGACCGGGCACTCTTCTCAGCCTCACCAAGAGCCGCTAACTCAACCTGACGCTGCTCAATCTGACCACTTAATTCACCTAATCTCTGTAACCAATCCGGCACATTCGAGGAAATATTCTTCAACGCGTCCATGGCCATGACGCGATGATCGTCTGGGGGGAGAGGGGAAGGAATCTTGGAAATTCGTCAAGGGGACGTTAGGCTGGATGACCTAACGTTCAATGCAACGAGTACAGATCCGCTGAGAAAGTCGGCTGTTCTCAATTCAGCGATATCCTACGCCCGGGAAAATAAGAACGGCTGCCTATGATCGTCCTTTGCCTGGAGTATGCTTCGAGAGTGGGGCGCGGAGGAGGAATGGGTGAGTGGCGATAGTTGCCGCTATAGGAAAAGCATTGCGGTGTTCGATTGCAGTGGAGTGATTAAAAGCCGTAGGGATTATCGATACTGGACAAGACGATTCTGCGGTGAATAACTCGATCTTGCGGCCTCGGATGAAAAGTAGAAGAGAGGTTTGCGAGGTTTGGGAGCCGGTTGTCGTGAAGACCTGTTTGGTCGTTGAGGGTCACGGAGAATCTAGGCTGTCGAATTATCCGAGATCAACGGAGTCCGCGGACCTCGGCGAGATCGGTCGTGATGGTACTAACCAGGCAAGTCGTGATTCAACACGATCCTCCTATCCTCGAGTCGTGTGCAAAAACAATAAACACGTCGTCGGGATGGGTTGCCCAAAGACGTTGCGTTGTTTGCAAGGTGGACGGTTGGAAGACAATGGAAGGAGAGGACTGAAATATAGAGAATGAGACTAGTGCGAGGGAAGGTTGATTTAACCCTGCTTCAGTTTTTAAAGAAGGATCATCAGCTAGACGAAGGGGGGAAGGGTCGGGGCCACGGGAGAGGGGAGATGGGGGGAACGGACAATAGCAATTGGCAAGGACAATGACAATGGACCACATTGAACACGCTGGAGGGTTGTATCGTGAAGTACAGTACGAAGTACCTCGTACCCTCCAACTTGTACCCTCGTACCCTATCCCGTCTGCTAAGTACTGTTGTACTGTTGTACTGTTGTACTTTTGTACTTCGTACTCGAGAACTCCGCGCGATCACCCCCAACGAAGTACAAAGGTAGTGAGGTACAATTTGTATCGCAAGGGGAAAACGTGGGTGGGTGGGGACCCCGAAGGCGGGCAACGAATATAGGGCATCAATTCTCATGCTCATTCTCCATTTCCATTCATCCATGGGCCATAACTACGACATCGTACGTACGAAGTATGGATCGAGCGTTCATCTAGGCTAGGATTTCCTCCATGTCCTTGATAACCTAATCGGGATAGGGACATTAGATGCTCACTACAGGGTACATAGTCTTAAGTTTTATTATGTTGCCGCTTTTCCCCATTTTGTGTTCAGAGGAAGATAATATACAATCACTTCAATTGTGGGTGAGCACTCCGTTTATTTCTCTTCATAGCTTATTGCGTCCCGCCTGTTTTAACGGGGGGATTATTGGTACGGAATCCGTGCTCCCTCACATCAGGGTCGAGACCACAACCGCCTGACTGCCACCCAAGTACGTACCTCGTACGTCCAAAATCCCCCTCCAACAGGCTTCTCATGAGTACTTCGTTCTGGCATGGGACCCCAGCATTTCCCATGTTGCACACTGCCAGGCGTTGCAGTGGCAGTTTGCAGACACTAGACCCTAGCCGCCAGACTTGGGGTACACTGGAAGAGTTGTCGACCTGACCAGCCAAGCACGAACGAAGTACGAAATACAGTTCACCATTATCACAAAGTATACATTGATGACGTTCGCGAAGTGCACAATGTCACCCGCTTCCTTCCGTCTCTGCATTTGAGAAAGAGGCGTGACCGCGATCGGGACACGAAGCAGTTCTCATCAGCGTTGCTCGATATTAACACCGAAATGGATAGAGTGTTCCCAAGCAGTATCACACCCTGTAAGTTGTCTACAACGAAACGGACTGATGTCTTTAAGAATCACGAGCGTGTTTGCCAGTACGCCAGCCTCGTCGAGTCTCTTCCAATCGCTAGTCCAATGGCACAGGGATCAGAATGAGATCTCTCACTGACAAATATACATGCTTCGTAGTCGCTTTGTCGTCAAGGCGGAACACAGCTCCACATTATCATGAAACCCGGTTTGGGCTTGTGTTTGACCCTCACGGCCATGACTACAGATTTGACTCTCACTTATTGTGCCTTACATTTTGACCTAACCCTCATCGCCAAGAGGCATCGAACTTGCATTTGACATGACGGCAAGATTTTGACCTATCGGGATCCGAGAGGCGCTATTGGCATGGCAAAGGGCTATTCCTGTTTCCATCGGTATTCTGCGCCATCGAGGTATTGATCCTCCACTGCACCCTACCTGCAAGTGTCTGATGGCACTGCCCAACGAAAATAAAGACGACTCAAAACATAAACAGACACAACGAAGACACCCTCAGCAATGC